CAACAGTAGCTAGCTAACAGGCTAGTAGCCTTATAGCTAGCTATAATGCTAGCCATACAACTACTAGCTAGCCGTGGCTACCTAGACGTGTGGCTACCTAGCTGCGGCTAGCTAGCTAGCTAGCCCTAGCTAGCTAGCTAGCTAGCTAGCCCTAGCTTGCTAGCTAGCTAGCCATGGCTAGCTGCTGCCCTTTATATCTCCTCCCTCCTTTTGCTACGCGCAAACAAACCTTCATGCTCTATACCCTCTAAATACCCAACTTGTATCTAGCTAGCTAGCTACTTGGCTAGCTAGCTAGCCAGCTAAATGGATAACTAGCCAGCTAGCTAGCAAGATGGATAAAGAGCTAGCTAAGTGGATAGTTAGCCAGTACGGTTCCTAGCTAGCTAGCCCAGTTGATGGCAACTCCCCTAGCTACCTACCTAGCTAGCTAAGTAAACAGCTAGCTAGCTCTATACCTAAATAGCTAGCTAGCTAAATAATAGCTACAATGGCTAGCTAGCTAGCTAGCTAGCTACCGTACAGTAACGAATACCCAACAGTAAGAGAGAAGGCAAACCTTGCGTGGCAGTTGAACGTTTTGTCGGCTCCATGCCAGCTAGCTAGCTAGCTAGCTAGCTAGCTAGCTAACCAGTCAGCTGGCCAGCTAGCTGGCTAGCTAGCCAGCTGAGGAGCAAAACCTGTGGAGCCAGCCGGCCCTTCCTCTCGGCACACGTCTATGCCTGCAGCGCTCAAGGAGGCGCGCGCAGCTAGCTAGCCAGCTAGCTAGCTAGCTACCCAACTAGCTAGCTAGCTCTCCAGTTAGGTAGCCAATTAGCTACACAGCTACCTAGCTAGATGGCTACCTAGCTAGCTAGCTAGCTAGCTTGCTAGCTGACATGTAACCAAGTTATGCCTTCCAATTCTGTCGGCCTGCCGCTAGCTAGCCAAGGGTGGGGGTACTTTCTGCCCACCAGCTAGCTAGCTAGCTAGCTAGCTAGCTAGCTAGCTGTAGCTGGCTTGCCAATTAAACGAGCCGAACAATGGGAGGGAGGAGCGCCTAGCTGCTGCTGCAGCAGCAGAGCAGCAGCAGCAGCGGCAAAGAGGAGGAATGATGATAAAACAAAGACACAACATTCTCCCCATTTGCTGCTGCTCCTGCTGCTGCCGTTGCTGCTGCTATTGCTGCTGCTGCTGCTGCTGCTGCTGCTGTACTGCTGCAGCTGCAGGTCCTGCTGCCGCACGCGGCGCCATTGCCCAATTCTCCATCCCTTCTTATAAACGGATGGATAAATAATACATATGTTCTTAGCTGCAGTTGCTGCTGCTGCTGCTGCTGCTGCTATTGCTGCTGTTGCTGTTGCTGTTGCACGTGCAACAACTCCCGCGCAGATAACGCCCAGAGCATGCAAGAGGGCCCCCCTATTAAGACCCAAGCCGCAGGCTGCAACAATGCTGCTGCTGCTGCTGCTGCTACTGCTGCAAACTGCAGCAGCATCAATATTTAGCTGCAGCAGCAGAGCAAGATATAGTCTTGCTACTACAGTAGCAGCAGCAGCAGCAGCAACAACTGCTGCTGCTGCTGCTGCTGCTGCTGCAGAGCTACAAAAAGAAATAATTATAATCTAGCGAATTAGCTAGCAAATCAATCAAGGCTCCAAACCGCATCATAGCAGCAGCAAATTCTGCTGCTGTTGCTGCTGTTGCTGTTGCTGCTGCTGCTGTTATTCTTGCTGCAGCAGCAGCAGCAGCAAACTTGCTGGAAAAATGTGTATAAGAATATATATATAAGGAAAAGCCCGGTAAATAAATAATCGCCGCTTATGCTGCAGTAGCTTGCTGCAGCAATCCTTCTGCTGCTGTTGCTGCTGCTGCTGCTAATGGTGCTGCTGCAGCAATAATATAGTTACTATAGGCCCCTGCGGAGACGCTATAGATATACATACATACAGCAGCAGTAGGAGCAGGAGCACCATTATGAGCATAAGCAGCAGGAGAAACTGTTGCTGTTGCTGTTGCTGTTGCTGCTGCTGCTGCTGCATGTATGCAGATAGTAATTATCCGATGCCTGTATGAAGTCCTGCTGCAGCAGCAAGAACAGCAGCAGCAAGATTAGCAACATGTGGTGGTGAGCAAGAAGGATGTCTTCTTCCTGCTGCAGTATTAGCTGCTGCTGCATCTCCTTGCTGCTGCAGCTGTAGCTGCCTTTTCTCTGCCTGTAATCTGCATGCAACAGCCATCCTTCTTGCTGTATCATTACCATAGATATTAATACTAAATGTTCTTTTCCTTCTTTTTCTATTACTATTAATATTATTATTATTATTATTATTATTGCTGCTGTTGCTGCTGCTGCTGCTGCTGCTGCTGCTGCTGCTCTCTGTAGTAGGCAGAGTCCACTGGGCACTCCATGTATTGTCTGATGGATTGAAGCAGACGCCCGGCACTTTTGCAGGGAGAGGCAGCTGCTTCTCCTCAACTTGTATAAGAATATCATCTATAAGAGGTAAATAGGCTACTG